ATTCAAGTCGTGTTTTTCAGAATTTAGATTTTTGCAATTCAATAATGTACACCTTGCAAGCAAAAGTTCAAGTGATGGATGTAAATGAGAATTATGTTAAAAATACATGCTTTATCCCTAACGTGTGTAGCTGATATCTCTTGAACGGTGCCAGACTCAGCATACTTGTTAACTTGCAAATCTTTATAAGCCTTGAGCTGTAATCCAATGTAAAAACTACGGCTTGAAATTAACTAATTCACCAAATACGCCGTCATGTTGGGGAACTTACAAATATCAAGCCGTAATGACCAAGGGGATCAAACAAGGGTCAAAAACTTCAGTTTGTTTATCGTATCTGTTCCTCGTATCTTCACTAAGCCTTGAATAGTATGCACTTCAAGACATAGTTGTACTCATCGAACATTTGTTCTACATAAAAATATTCTCTTTCCTCAGCCTGATTTCCACCCCTGTTTGTAAATATAAGTATTATCAAAAATGTAATATTCAAGCTCTTTTTCACTTGCTCCGCTTATGACTGCGGCTTCTAGAATTTCCTTCATTATAACAATTAAGCGTAAATGATCAACAGCAACCAAAATCCAATTGAAAAGGAAAAAAATACAAATACACCAACGTAAAATCATTAATAATAAATTGTGTAAGATTAGGTTACACAATAACACATCTTTAATACTGAAAGCAGTGAACTAGGCATTCCAATAACTACCATTTCGTTACAGAAATAACGCAAATGCAGTATTAAAATAAGGAATAAAATTAGTACTGCATGACAGTATTTAGCATGTCCAATAACTCTCTATTAAGTACTCACAAGCAGACAAAAGATCAGGGCTATTTTCGCCACTTGTTCAACGGGCAACTTGAGAGTGGCCCTCTTGGCAATCTCTCCAGCTCGCATTGAGGCCTGATAAGACAGCCTGGCTAGCAGGGCATCAGCCGCCTCCACCTCTGATAAATGGCGCACCTCGGCCACCTTGCTGAAGCGCACATATCTTAAGGAGGAATCGTCGCTTTCAGTGCCCGAGCTCTTGTCCAGGCTGTCCCGCTCGGCCAGTTTAACCGGCACGAAGATGGGGGTGCTCAACTTGCCACTAACTGCCTCATCCGCATGATCCTCCTCCGGCTCCGAGTCCAAGAAGTCGTAATTATTGGGCCGGGCGCAGAAAGCGTCTCTCCATGGATGCCAGCACAGAAAGCCAAGCAGATAGCAGGTGAACATCGACGCTTTAACGTAGGTGCAAAAGAACGGCTTTTCCAAGGTTTCCTCATTGTAGATCTGCTGAAAACCGTAAGCATAAAACTGATCATGCGGTTTTATTGCCTACAGATAACAATACGGAAGTGCTACGTTACACCCACATACCTTAGTCAGCTTGGATAAGGACACTGAAATCATATCCACTAGAATGAGAACGACTAGCCCGAAAACGATTCTTTGGCTCTTAGTTAGGACTGTCAGGGCCCCCGAGTCCATTTTCCTGGCCGCGCTACTGGCAGGCTGTACACATAAGGGCACAATCGCAAACCGGCCACATGTTGCAACTTAAACTGACCTACACTTGGTTCCAAACTAAACAGGACGCTAAATCGTTGAAAAGCTTTGAGCGAAAAAACCAAAACAAAAACACATCTCTAACCTCAACCACCAACATCACTTTTGACGGTTTGATACGAGAAGTATCGTTGACAAGTTCTACAAATGAGTTAAGACGATTTAAGGTTATGTGGGTTTGTTTATTGTTTGATGATAATTATTTTATAATTTGTCGAGATAAACAACCGCGAGTCCGCATATCATTTTTTTTCCATTCTCTCGTGCATTTCGAACCTTATATAAGCTCTAGATAAAAATGGCAAACAAATAGTATCGTATAGAAATTCATAGGTAAATTTTATACGCTCTTGGCTAGTAATTTTTCAAGAGGAATTGTTTGAATTTGTTGGAACAAAAATAATAGTATTGCCTTTATATTAGCACAAAGAAAGACAGTGATAATTATGAGTATTTCTTAATTTATAACAATTTACAAATGATTTATTCTGATCAACTTAAATAGGTATTAGATTTTATATTTGTAGTATTTAAGTAAGCAACTTAAACCATTAAATAAATCTCCTAAAAAGTTTGGTTTATTGTATATTTGACAGTATATTGAATATCCTTACATACATCGACACATTTATATGGATAGTTTTCAAATTAGTAAATACATCCATAGATTTATTTATCGGTAAAACTTATAATAAACATCACCCAAGTGGCAATAACAAGTAAGAGTACTTATGACATTAAATACTAAAAATGTTATAAAAAATGTATTATTGTTAAAATACTTAAAATTTCTGATTACAAATCCTAGTATTTTATACGCCTGATATAATTAAATTAATTCACATAGGACTACCTACTAAAAAGTCGAACTACGTTGTTGGTATTCCACTTTTGTTGGAATAGTGTAAAAAAGCAATTATTTTCATGTGTTGCTTAGTGTGACATGTTAAACAAAAAGTAAATGGAAACAGAAGATACCAGCAATTCTTTTGCTTAATATTTCTTGACTCTTACAATAGGAATTTTATTTTTTCTGTTACTTTAAAATTAAAAAATCGTTGATAATTTGTTTTAATTAAATTTGCACATTGCACATAGGAAAATAACTTAAGCCAACGATCTATTTGCTCAATAATACATTTTTATTATTAAAACGCCCCATTTGGTGTACATAATATATAGAGTAACGTTAAAAAACACATTGTTAAGTTCTTCTAAATCAAACTTTATAAGTCCAATAATTTTATCAATATTAATTAAGTTAACACACTCAAGTCCAACACTATATTAATAAAATCCAAAGAGTTTACGGTTACAAGAAAATACCGGGAAAAAACGATACCTAGACGCTTGGTCGCAACAAAACACCTCTGCTAGATAAAGATGAGTAGACAGTGGTAGGCTCAGGATAATTAATTAAATACCTCGCCGCTCTGGGATTGCATAAAAACTTCAACCATACAATAAACAATTTTATTTTCAAGTATAAAAATACATTTAAAAACGACGTAGTCCTAAACATAGGGCCATTCAATATATAGACCTAATAAGGCCACAATTTATAAAGAATATAAAGTTTTCTGCTTAATAAAACTAATTATTGACCACTTAATTCGAACCATCAGTCATCAGCACTGGGGTTTCTGATCAACCTCAGTCCCAATAAAGTTTTGCATGCGGTCATGCCGCCATCCAGTCCCAAACTCCGAAAAACCTACAAGGATTCGATGAGAATGGCGATCCCCTGACCACCTCCAATGCAGGCGGACCCAATTCCAAATTTGGCTTTCCTCCTCCTGCAAACAAGCGCGTAACGGGGGACAAGTGCACTATAAATCGGGGTTACCTCAATTCGTAGACAAGGTGCGAGATAATTCGACTGCCCGAAGCCCCCAAAGGATGGCCGATAGCGGTGGCCCCACCATTTACATTCAGCTTGTTGATGTCCAAGTCGAGCTCTTTGGCACAGGCCAATGTTTGCGCAGCAAAGGCTTCATTGATCTACGCAAAATAGACATCAAAACCTGGCCGCTGGTGGGTTAAATCACTCACCTCAACTAAGTCGATGTCGTTCAGAGTCTTTCCTGTTACTTTCAGGACGGCCTTAATGGCAGGGGCCGGTCCAATGCCCATTATGGTCGGGTCGACTCCGACCACAGAGTATGCAACCACTCGAGCCAACGGCTTCAGCCCGTGTTGAGCAATGGCTTGCTCATTGGCCACTATGACCGCTCCAGCCCCATCAGCAATCCCCTAAGGCGCAGATTAAACTTAGCCAATGAATTTCCTTTTTTGCGTAGTTCTCACCGAAGCTGTTCCAGCAGTGACCAGGCCGTCCTTCTTGAAAATGGTGGGCAACTTCCTCAGGCCCTCCAGCGTTGTTTGGGGCTTTGGATGCTCATCCACTTCAACATTAACAATATCCTTCTTGATTTTCACTGGCACCGCAACCAGTTCTTCTTTGAATCGACCGGCGTCTTGGGCCTCCTTCCATAGTCTTTGCGACCTTAAAGCGAACTCGTCCACCTGATCTTTGGTGATGTTGTATTGAGCGCCCAATTTCTCAGCGGTCAGGGCCATGGGCAGGTTGCAGTAAGAGTCGGTCAGTCCGACCCAAAGGGAGTCCTCCAAAGCGGGGCTTTGCCCCAGAGGCAGGCCGTACCTCAAGCCCCTAATCACGTGAGGGTAGGCGGACATGTTTTCGACGCCGCCAGTCAAGGCGATTTGGGAAAATCCAATTTCGATGTCCTGGAAAAACCGCTTCAGTGTTGGCTTGTGTCTTTTCGACGGACTTACCTGTACTCCATTGACTATGGACTGGAATCCAGAGCCGCAGAGTCGGTTGATCGCATAGGCGGGTTTTTCTATTGGCACTCCACTTTTCAGAGCCACATGCCGGGAAAGATACCCGCCGTCAGCCGCGGAGTTCTACGCAACAAAAACAAACAGCTTCTTACATGAACATTTAGTTATAAACAAGCATGACTGGCAATCGAGGAAAACCAGATTAGCAGTTGCATGGCGGAAAGTAAAGTTATACTCACTGATCCAACGATTCCAACAATGACAGAGTCTACAGCTTCGGGCTTCACATTGCCCGAGGCCAGGGCGGCTTTAGCCGCCACCGTTTGCAAATCAGTGATCGAAACATTCTTCAACTTGCCCCCATAGGTTCCAAACACTGTCCTCTTGGCACCCACAATGAACGATCCTAAAATTTACCTTTGTTATTACACCAGCTCAATTTTTACGCAGCAAGCGAAAGTACTACCACTCTTACCTTTAACTAGTGATGCCATTGCTTTAAAATCTTACTCTCGTTGACAATCTAAATAGGACTGAAGGGGACTGAGCAGCTTTCGGTAATAAATTGTCGAGTTGGAGGGTAAAGTCCACTTAATCCCAGAGGCTTTCAACACAAGAGCAAAGTGCAGAGCATCGATGTAACTAAACATAACACGATTTCAGTAGGTACTTTGACCCCACTCGTAACCTCACAAATCCACCTACTTAAAAGATGCTCACCTTATAGATAATAGCTTGACCAACAACTTTTCTTAGCGGTTATTCTTGGGAAAATGATGTTTTCCACGACTTTTCACCCATTAAAATTCACTTACTCCACAATTACGACCAAATTACTGAATTTCATCGAGTAGAAACTGTTCGAAGGAGATTATCTATTAGGTGAGCAGATTGTTAACTTCGAACGCTAGGGCCCCATTAACTAGAAAATTACCTTTAATGCAGCAACCACTGCGAATATAAACTGATGTTTTGAACACAGACTGTTTTGCACATTCACCAAAGAATTACTACAATTACTGTGTAATTACTTGCACCACAGTAATTAACTGTGACGTGCGGATTTGTTGGGGATGAAGTTAGCTTTAGGCACAGCACTTCGATTAGGTCGCGTATATGTACATTTCTCTCTTCCAGTATAGTAAAACAAGAAAGCATACATTCTGGCTCCATAATTTCGGTCTGTTCATTAGCAGCAGTCAAATCGATGTAAACACGTCAAAGTGTGGAAAGCTGGTCGAACTTGAACAATCTGTGTTATGTTTTTCGGTTTACTTAATTTTACAGCGAAATAAGTGCAGTTATTTTGTAAATTATGACTCAGAGAAGCCTAACGGACGTTTTCCTCTTGATGAGGAACAATGCCATTCGTAGCAGGCAGATTTACCCGGACCAAGTTAGTTGATATTTGCTCTAAACGATCTTATTTGAGACACTTTATACTAAGCGGGGCTGATGTTTCTTACAGGATTCGTCAGAGCGAATGCATTTGGTGTCTCTAACCGACATGGATGACGGCTACTCGGATAAAAACGAGAAAATTCCCCCAGGCTGGATTGACTATCTTGAAAAGGCTCAATTAATATTGCCCAGGCTAAAATCCAAAATTGCCGACTTAAAGTCGTTACATTCCAGGTACAAGCCTTTTGCTTAGCATAATCAGATGCTTCAATTATGATTTTTTACAGGCATTTGCATCGTTCCACCTTTGATGATACCCCAGAAGATGAAATAGCGATAGGAAACTGCACACAAGACATCACGAGAATGTTCAACGAAATCCACAGGCTCCTGCAGATCATCAAGAGCCATTCAACTGAGAATGGAGTCAAAGAACAGAGACTGACCATAAATGTTTACAGATCTTTAGCCACTGCCTTGCAGGAGTTGTCGCATACTTTCAGATCGACACAGAATAGCTATTTAAGGCAAATCCAGGGTAGAGAGGATCGATCAAAGATGTACTTTGATCAGACTGCTGATATCGACTTGTTGAATAACGATGGCGAGGATATTGACAATTATTTTATTAATTCCCAGAGAATGTCCCAACAACAACTGCTGCTGCTGGAAGAGGAGAATACTAGGTGAGTTTGTATAATTTGCCCAAAAAATCAATCAGGGAGGATGAATAGTTTTATTGATGAAACACTCACAACTTTTGTAATACGTGAGCAACTTTGCTGCAACATTATTTTGAGTTAAACTAAAAATAGAGATAAAAGTAAATGCAGCCAAAAACTGGACTCAGGCAAGAGCAAATATTGCAGTAATGCATCTACTTTACCAGCGATATTTTCGAATCACTGAACACAATTTTACCGTAAGAAATCCACGGCTTTTTTTGTTTGAATAGGGCAAACTTTTGCAGAAAGTAGCGCACGTCATTTTCCAATCTTTAAATTGAAGCTACTTGTTTTGATAATAAAAACAGTGATAAGAAAATCGGGGCAACTTCCACCAGTTAACGTATTTATGAATTATCAATTTGCAGGTTCGCACAGGAAAGGGAGAAAGAAGTGAACGCAATAGTGAAATCGATTGTAGATTTAAACGAGATTTTCAAAGATCTCTCACAAATGGTAGCCGATCAGGGCACGGTTTTAGATCGGATAGATTACAATATCGAAAACACACAAGTGCAGGTGTTTGAGGGTTTTAAGCAACTGCAAAAGGCCGACGCCTACCAAAGAAAAAACCGAAAAATGTGCGCTATCGTCACTCTTGCCGCTGTTAGTATGTTGCTGTGCTTGATTCTGATTATTGTTAAGTCTTAGTTGTCAACCCTTAAATAAGGTGATAAAAATGTTAAAATTGATCTATTCATCATAATGTATCTCTTCTAGTCAAGTGCTAAATTGTTTTTAAACCCGTATTAATTACCCCTCAAAACCGATGTACATAGTGAAATATAAGGAGTCTATTTTAGGCTGGCTGAGTATTTTTGTGGAATAAAAACCATTCCCTTAACGGTGTATCATTTAATTGAAAAAATCATTACATAAATACATCATACAAACAAAAATTAAACCTACGCGTGGAACACAAAAGGCATCTCCTAATGCAACAGAAAATTATCAAGAAAAGATTAAATACGATTTTATTTTTAATGTGGATGCATTATTCTCGGATTCATAGTCAAACACTACTGCTGTAAATGGCAAACAAGATGAGACAGTAAAGGGCCTTAATTGATATTTGAAAGTAAAATGCAGTGTTGTGCTTTAGAAATCCAGTTCTCAGTCTCAGAAACCGCAATAGTTATTAATACAAATCACCAGCACATCAAATATTTGTTGCCTACTTAAAATTTACACTAGATTTCGAAATCACCTTTAAACATTCAATTTGTTAAACTTCTTTGTACATTGCCATCACATGTTGCCGGTACTCGTCCTTCTTTGTCCAGGTCTCTGCTGCTAAGCCATTAAGGGGACTATCGACATTTGGTTCATCTATAAACAGTACCAGATTGAAATTAAATCCACGTAGTTTGAGCCAACCAGCAAACTTACCGAGCAAAGCTTGTATGGACAGTAAAATGGTTCGAACATCATAAAGAGCAGACCAATTGTCTTTCAGGATATCTAGACAGATGTTTCCCTGGGTGTCCACATTGGGGTGAAAACAGGGCGTTACAAACTTCACTACTGGGGCCTTATAGGGGTAGGAGTTGGGAAATTGGAAGCTGAGCTTGAATTTCAGCTCTTCATAGACAGAGTCTTTGGGGCCCCAGACTGTCCCAACCCAACTAAACAGGTTCTCGCCATCAGGAAATGCTGAAATGCTCTGATCAGCGGACATCATAAGACTCATCAGTTCCTTGTGGAGCCTGGAAATATTCCCATTGAAGCCCTGTAGAAAAAAACGTACCCACTCACCTCTTGGTAACTGCATGCCCATCGTTTTGAGGCAACTTGACCATCTCGCCTTCTTTCCCTGAATTGGTGTTTTGTGGTTCGTATAACGGGTTCACATTTTGGGCCATTTTCTAGATAATCGGGATTATTTTGCTCCGCAAAATGCCAATGTGAACATTCGTTAATCTTGGTGACAGCTGACAGATTCAATCATGAAAAACTGGTTTTCGAACCAGCCAATCAGAGCCTTGCTTCAAAGCATTAACTACTGTAGAGAGGAAGAAGAATGTTTGGAAAATCACTGTCACAGGGTTCAGTTGAGTTCAAAAAATTTACAAAAAAACATGATCAAACATGTTCGTTTGGGCCGAGAACTGGCAAAATTGGCCACTTCAGATTCGAAGGACATTTGCGTTTTCCCCAAGGATGACAAATTGGATGTACTGGAGGCGCAAATAGTTGGCCCGGAAAAATCCCCCTACCAAGGCGGTATTTTCAAGGTATTTCCCCTGTTAAAGCAATTTTCACTATAATTTAATAAACCGGTTTCAGCTGGAAGTCATTGTGCCTGACGCCTACCCTATTATGCCGCCCTCCATCAAGTTCTTAACTAAAGTTTACCATCCAAACATTGATGACAGTGGACGAATCTGTTTGGACTTGATCAAAATGCCTCCCAAAGGAAACTGGAGGCCCACAATTGGCATTGAGGCTCTGCTCATTGCTGTTCGCATGCTACTGGAAAGCCCTAACCCCGAGGATCCTCTTATGGCTGATATTGCCGAAGAATATCAAAGGTTTTACCCAGCCAGCATGCCCAAAGGGAACTTTACTCAATAAAACATTCCTTTTAGGAACAACTCAAGTTTTTTAAGGAAAGCCAAGGATTATACAAAGAAGTATGCCTGTGCAGTTAAGCAGCAGCGTTAGTATTTCTAGGATATTTAGCTGGACGTTGGTTGGGATTGACGAAAAAACATGAAAATGTTTTTGAAAATGAACTAAACAAAATCATGTTTAGGTAACACTAAAATTTGCATTGCACTATTTTTCATTTAGAAGCCCTTCGATTCTGATCGGCATTGCCACCCTCCAAAGCTTCATTTTTTATATGCAAGCTTCTTCTGTTGTCTTTGTTTTTATTGCTGTTTTCGCTGGTGTCTTCTTCACATTCTTCTGCAAAACTGCTCCTGGCCGCCTCAGAAAAGGCCTGAAATAGAACAGGATCAGAATAGGGATTACAGCACCTAATCACTTCATACCTCAGGGTACTGTGCTGAAAGTTTCATTTTAATGGCACGAAGCTTCTTGAAAATATAGTCCAAATCTTTCTTCATCTCCACCAGAAGGTGGATGTGTTTTTTGAACTCAGGGGCAACAGTCTTAAGTCTCGAAGCACTGAGGGCGTTGCAATTTGTTAGCATTTCATTGGTTTTTTCAAATCGCTGCAACCTAAAAAAGTGGTTTACCGCGAAATTTCAAACGGATTTCCTGGGGGGCGGCGGCGGTTTACATTTGCTTTTGGGCTCTGATCATTGTTTCCACATCTTGTTGGTCAACAATTCCAGCCAGGCCTTGAATGAATACCTCTGGTGCCGTGTAATTTTGAAAGCATTCTATGCTGAAATCACTCTCGGGCGTGCCTTTCAGATCATCCATCTTGCCGAAAATTTGTTTTTTTCTGTTAGTTGGGTTTGTTTATATTTACCTTTGTTTTGGTTTGATCTATAACCTATAGCTCCCAGTTTGGTTATGAATTTGCAAGTTTGAAGGTTTGCTGCCTTACTTGGCAACCGCGCAGGGATCTGACCCAGTTATCTAGGCATTTTTTGCCTTGCTTGCAATGAAAACTTTAGAAATAAGACGAATGAACTGAATTAGGTACTTGGTCATGACCTCCCCATTCAATTCTCTATCTAACGATGCCAAAACGACTCAAAACAACTGAAAAAAAACCACGCAAACCTAAAACTTCTTGAATTCAAGCATTTTTTTGAGAAAACTGGCAACAATCCCCCTTCCATATTTCACTTTCTAAAAAGGTCATTTATTTCTGTCTAGAATAATGTACAAATGAGCATTCTTGCTCAATTT